CCCTGTAAGCCCATCACAAGTCATTCACTCTTAAGCCAAGTCGCAAGCCATTCAAATGAACTGTCACAAAAGCATTCCTTACAGTTGGCTTTATGATTGGAAGGGACTTGTGAAGGGACTCTGCTACAAGCCTAGGCCCAAGAAGATTGATATTTGATAGCGTACATGGACATGTAGCTTTAAGCTGTTGCTACGGGGTCATGGCTTGGTTATCAATCAATCAATGGATCAATCAATCAAGCATTCATTTTGTTCTTCCTTCAGATCCCTCCATGCTGACAGACATGCTGAAAGGAAACTTGACCAACATCCTGCCCATGATCGTCATAGGTGGATGGATCAACTGGACCTTCTCAGGATTTGTAATCAGTAAGACAAAGAGATTCATCTGAATCTTACCAAAAATGCACTCACTTAAGAAAGTACCGTCATTCCAAAGAGTGTTGCCTTTCTTCCAGACGTTTGCAATGGTTGTGATTATATAAGGTCACTGACTGACTGGAGACTTGTCAAAGAAAGTTGAACGTCTGTGAAGAAAAAAAGCATCTTAATATGCGACCAGAGTCAGAGATATCCGCTTATCTTGTTCCTCTCCAGTTTTGTTGGTGTCAAGTTTATTCCAACCTTTAATCCTCATACCACAGCATCAAAACACGAAGTAGACAGCCTCTAGGAGAGCAAGAGAAGATTGTGGTCAGTTGGATGTAACGAATAAAGTGGGATTTTATCATTTTGATCACGTATTTGCTTTTACAGCCAAGGTCCCCTTCCCGTTGACGTTACGCTTCAAGCCCATGCTCCAGCGTGGCGTAGAGCTAGCCTCCCTGGATGCCTCCTGGGTCAGCTCCGCCAGCTGGTACTTTCTGAATGTCTTTGGTCTGCGGAGTGTCTACTCGTTGATACTCGGGGAAAATAACGGTGAGGATACAGCGCATTGTGTGCATCAACCCGTAGATCAGTTATTTGGAGTTGCACCACTTTGGTTCTGAGAAGAGTGCATTTTAAATCTAAGAGGTTTCAGTCGACGGTAGCTATTATCCTTATATCATTCTTGACAAAGCCAGCTTTACTGAAATGCAAGCTTTGAGTTTACCAAGGATTTCAAAAGGTAACCATATATTAGGGCTGAGTCAATTTGAATAATTCACTATTCGAATATTCGACCTTCAATGTGGTCGAATATCTAAATATTCGGTCGTACCGACCCACAGATTGTTGAGGAACAAACCATATACAAAATCAGTTGAAATAACGGACGCAATTGTACACTATAATCACTATAATAGCTTTTCACATCTACGAGTATCTCCAGCCATGATTTAGCAAGATTTAACAGACGAACAATAATTCTTTTCCTATTAAAAATGTATATTCCTTTTAGATTATTTAATGAATAATGTACTTTTCAAATCGCTGTAAGGTTTTTGTCACTTCTTATTAAAATTTACTTGGAACAAGCCTCCATAGTGCAATTTTTCTCGTTTAAATAAAAGAAAGCTCTCCCTTTCTTTTCATTAAGTTTGCATTCGAATATTCAAATTCGAAAAAAGATATTCGAATATTCGATGATCGAACGAATATTCGGTTATTCAGATATTTGGCACAGCCTTACCATATACAGTCAAGCCTCATTAATAAGAGCACTGTTAATACAAGATTCTGCTTACAGCAAAGAAATCTTCAGGTCCAAGTCTTTTTTTTTTTTCATTGTTTTCATTCCTGATAATACCAGGCTCCTGTTATAACAAGGTAATTTTGCCAAGTTCGAAGAGCTTCTTTTTAACGAGGTTCGACTGTATGCCATTCGCTGAAAAAATCAGGTGTCCAAGTAATAGATAAAACAAAAGTTCCAAAGGTAAAGAAATTTTTGGATGATGTCTAGAACAATCCCAGAATGCTTCTCATTGGAATCCTGACTTCCATAACAAATTTGTCATGACCAGTTCCATTGTGCCCCCCAGTGGGTAGCCAGTCAGTGTAAACAGTCCAAGAAAATATTCCAGGTTTAATTATTGTTTGTAATGAAATTGAATCCCAGGTCTCATGTCTGTGTTTCTCCCATGTGACCCGTAAGATGTGTTCACTCCAAATTTGGCATTCCTTTGTCATTAATGTTTGCAATTCTTGGTCGCAGCGGCTGACCAGGCTCGCTTGATGCAGCAACAGATGAGCATGAGCCAGCCAATGGGAGCCAACCCTGACCCCATGAAGGCATTCAAGGTCAGTTCCGATTGGTCAGAGACTTCAGAGTTCCAGGGATTAAAGGGCCAATCATTATGCAGTGCATTCAAGATTGTCTGCCTTGCACGTAGGATCTGATTTTTAAGCAGGGGTTTTTGCCTTATTCGCAATAGATGAACGTCGAGCTACCTGTGCTATAGGGGAAAGGTTTCATTACTTCATGGGGGCTTTTGTGTAAAGTAACTTCTTGTTAATGCTTTTCCTGGCCTACAGCTTTGGCCACAATGCTTTTCCGCCATTAATGGGGGCCTCTTGAGTGTAGAATGCTTTTTTGGTCAGGTTGGCCTGAAAGTAGAGAATTTGGAATGTGCAATCACTTTCAGGCTTATATAAATTGGTATTTCAAGCAAGTTCTTTTTGAAGTTAGCATGTGCTTTTTTGGTGCTCAGTGCCTATGATCTCTGTGAGAATAACAAAGCTCTCTGTCTCTACAAATGTATATTTCTTCTAGTTCCTTGAAATGGGTGCCTTGCCTAAGATTCCCATAAATCACTTGTCATGAAGTTTCTGACAGATACGCCATGTTTATTGCAGGCGGAGTGGGAAGCCTTGGAAATCTGTGGTCATAAATGGGCCCTGGAGAACGTCGAAGATGAACTCATCGAAAGAAGCCCCACTCCCATCGTGCCCTACGGCCAACACAACTTCTTAACCAAGATGAAAGTCAAATGAACAAGCCCCCGTACCCCCAACATCCCTCAAAAGAGAATCTATAATCTACTTTAATCGAGACCACAGGCACTTACCAATTCACATACAGTTTGTGGAGAGAGGAAGCTTTTCCTTTACTAAGATCCCCAAAAGACGTAATGTTTCACAGGAGTCGGATTTGCTGCAACATTTGGGTGTTTCTTGAACAATTTGGCAGTCAGCCAGTTGAGATTCAAACAGTTGTTATTGAGATCATTCAATAACAAAGCACCTGAAGTCCTCCCAACACCAGCTTGAATATGTTCAGTGTATGCGAGTCTGCATAAAGGCTGCTCTGATAGGATCGACATCACATGAACGTGTTGCTGTCCTTGAATGACCTACAGTGTGCTTAATTATGTGCATGCAGTGTTGGAATACTCAACTGGCTCAGTGAGCATGATTCAATATGTACCTCTCTCTCTCCGGAAGAATACTTAGGAAAATAAGCTGTTGGATGCCAATTATTAAAGAAAGGACCTCTCTGTGATGTCCACCTGATGCCTAATTTACTTGGATCACTGTACCCCCAATCTTGACTTACCATTGTATAAGTGCCAACGCAAACCTGTCTGTCAGATGAACAGTTGACTGTGACTTCAGATGACGCTGCGGAATTGTCACCCATTTGGTTCATCCCAAGTTATTCCTAGGAGAAGCCACTGCAACTTGTGTTGTTACAGGGCTTATTTATTGGGGGGGTATTAAATGTAATTTGATTTGAGAAAATCAAGATCTGAGTTGCTTTGGGCTCTTCACATAAGTTTGACCACAGTATTTCTTTTTCACGTTGGTAGTTTTGAGTACTAAAGTCATTTAATGACGAATAATTTAAGAACAAATCAGACTGCTATTCTTCATCACTACTGTGTTAAATTATGAACACCTGTAGAGAAATAAATCAGTTTCGTGGAATTGGAATTTTATAGAGGTGTTGGATTGGTTGTGACTCTTTATTCTTGTTTTCATCAGGAAAAAATTTCAAAGAACATTGTGAAAATCACGGGTAAATGGAATATTTTGAAGACCTAGTATCAGTGTTGCATTCGAGTCCATCACAAGTCCATCGTAAGTCGTTCAGTCTTGAGCCAATTTACAGGCTATTCAAATGAGCTTTGACCAAAGCATTCCTTTGTCATTGTTCACCCTGTTACTTATGACTGGCCTTGTGACGGCACTTGTCATGTTTGTGATGGACTCGAATACAACACTGCCCAGTATTGAGGCAAATGGCGCAAACTTTTGTGGAAGTTTTGCAGCTGTATTATTTCGTGGGCGTGGTGTTCTGCATGTACAGAAACTTGGGTGTGGGGTCGATCGGAAGGTGAAGTGTATTGTGAAGCGCCCCCTCTATTGGCCACCTTTACAGCACTGGTGTCGTGTAGTAGTGATCGGACTTGGATAATAACTGGTCCCCTGCGTTCTGGTGCTGGTTAAAGATGCTACACGTGCAGTTTGCCTGCGGTGTACTGTATGCAGTGTTAGTGCAGTGTGGTCAGAGGTTGAAGCCAAGTGAGACCCAAAATTGTGGCATGCATGAAAATTCACGGATTTTTGTAGTGCCTCAAGGTAAGTCTTAATATTGGCCAGCTTATGTAAAACTTGCCCTTGCTAGGAATCAGTTAAATATTATTCTGTATTCTGTAGTGCAGTGTGGGGCCTGCGATCCGACGTTCGTGGGAGCGCAGAGCGGGGTAGTCCGAGTAACTTCAAACTTGGACCCGAAAAATCGTCTTTTTTTAACATTGGGACATGGTTGGGCGATCGTAGAGTCCAAGTACCTTCCGTAGGCTTTTTCTCCCATTAATTTATTTCATTCAAAATTGCTCGTACCCCGAATCAAAACCCTCCGAATTCACCTCCAAAATAGTCCTTAAACTGCATGTCGAATGCGTCCAGCTTGGGATCAAGTGAGAATCGGAGATTCCAATAATAATGATAAGATTTACTCACATTTAAATTCAGCCATTTCTTCCTTTCAAATACCCCAAAAGATTTTAAGGTTTTTAACGTGATTTTTTTGAAGTAATCTTTAAATTTTTTTAAAGTGATTTGAATCATGATTTAAATCAGTGATTAAATCAAACAACCTTGCTTAGGAATGTCCAGTGAAAGTTTGCTGCATGTACATGCACATTTATCTGGAAAAGAGTTCCATATATTCGGAAAACACTTATTTTCCCTCAATTATGCACTTCTCTAAAAAAAAAGACCAAATCAGCTTTTCTTTAAAGTGCTTTATTGTAGATCATAATATGGATCACACAAACTTTTTAACTTGTTTTCTTATTTTGCAGGATTTGCCTCACACGTTTCGATAGCATAAAAGCGTGTACATCAAAGATGTTTCTACTATTATGGAGCCGGAGAGGTTTCATGAGGCCAACCAACTTATTCTTTGGCAGGAGTCCAAAGAGAGTGGATAGCCACCTCCCTGTGCTTGCAAAGAAAGTTAACTTGAGTCGTCAAAACTGTCTGCGTTCTATGTCCCAACAGTTAAACAAGTCACAGTTGGGGAAACATCCTTGCCGGCTGAGCCAACTTGCTGACTGCAGCAAAACACATGTGTGCAGATGCAGTACTTTGAATCATTCAGAACTAGATGATGCCTTGAGATCACGAGGGGCAACGACTACAGAGGATGGTGAGATTAAGGAAAAAGAGGACACGGATGATGGATTGGCTCGCATCAAGGCGGCCAAGTTGGAGATTGAGGTGATGCAGAGCTCAGGGTCTCCGGTGCCAGACTCTATCAACGAGTTTGACTTGGATTACTTCAGCGCGCTTACCTCCAAGAGGTCCCGTAAGAGGTTCCTGGCATTCCTGTACAAGAAGCAGATGCAGCGCTTGAAGGACAAGGAGAAGCGGAGGCTGGCCAGGGAGGCGAAGGAGGCAGAAGCTCCGAAGGCTGAGGAAGACATGGACCTACCACTGAAGAACCGGCTCTTCTTGCAACTCCAGCAGCAGAGTGTCCTCCAGTTCGACCACTGGCACCTGGCTGCAGGGATGAAGTTTGGCCCCAAGTTGGTCTACGACTTCAGCTATGAGGAGCACATGAGGCGGCCGGAGATCATCAGCCTGGTCAATCAGCTGATGCTGGGGGTGAGTGCCAACAAACTCGCCAGGGACCCCTTTGACATCCACTGGATGGGATTGCAGGAAGGCAGCGCAACGATGCGGGAGATCAAGAGGATGCTGGGGGAATCTTTCAACTCCGTCATGGTCAACATCACCGACAAGCAAGTCCAGGACGTCTTTCCCATGGAGGACATTGTGTACCTCACTGCCGATTCCCCCAACATCATGAGATCCTACGACCCGAACAAAGTCTACATCATCGGTGCCTTAGTTGACAGTCATAAAATCCTCCGAGGCGTGTCCTTTGCCAAAGCTAAGCGGCTTGACCTGGCTCATGCCCGCCTCCCGTTGGACCTTTTCCTGAAATGGAGCTCGGGGGGTAAGAATCTGACCCTGGATCAAATGATCCAGATCCTAATTGAGCTTAACACCTCGGGGGATTGGGTCAAAGCTCTTAACCACGTCCCAGTGCGGAAACACACCGGACTGAAATCGGAACAAACTTTGGAGCAATTCGATCCCAAGAATCATGAGCAGAGGACATTTGAGAAAAGTCCCCCACAAGAAGAGGTGAGGTTCGCTTTTAGTCGAGCCACTCATTCTCGTAAATGGCCAGTACTGGAAGAACCAACGCTCAGCCACTCAAAGAGAAGAAGCAGCTTCTCAATGAGGCAGAGAGTGAGACAGATCATTGATAAGGAAGAAGATGATCCATCGAATGAGACGGTATTCAGCGCGTCTGGAGGGTACAGATATCATCAGACCAGTTCCAACAAAGATAGACAGTGGTTTGAAGACTGAGTAATGGAATCAAGGACATGAACTCAATCAATCCATAAACTGCAGGCTTCCGGTCAGCAAGGATGACCTGATAATGTGTTGATTCACTTTGGAATTTTTAACCATATGCTGCCAGGTTCTTTTAAAAATGCAGTGCCTACATACTGTATGGGCGATTTTCAAGATTTTCCGTTTTCTAATTCCTCAAGAATTCATAATTTCATTTAATGGACGTTTACACCCACATGAAAGACTGCTTGGTGTCTACTCTTATCTGACATGCAACCTCCATTGACGTCCAAGTATTTCAGCCAGGCCTGCCGGCCTGTAAAGAGAGCTCAGAATTGCAAGTGTTACGTGTTCCCAACGAATGCCAGTGGCTTCTTTTCAAACAAGGCTGGATTTGCGTGCAGCGGTACTGTATCGCTCATCGATGGGGAGCTGGAGCAGTTTTGTCCGCGGTGCTAATCCACGGGCGGGCTAAGCCAAAAACAGTGGTATGCTGTATCAAAACAGTGATGGATTACCTCCAATAAATGCAAGCTTAAAAATGATGGCAATTCCTAGCAACAAGTCTTTTATTCCGAGTACAGTCTTTGTTACAAGGCCCAGCTCTTTTGTCCGATTTCGGGCACCCCAGCTACGCATACAAACCCAAAGTACCCGAAACCGGGCTCCCCCGCGGCATATGGTTAAGACAATTTAGAGAGCTTTTATGATGGGTGAATTCAATAAGGGTTGAGAGGTCCCATGTTTAGGACATCATAGTATCCTGGTTACATGTATATTTATTGCACAAATAAATTGCAGATGGTAGTAAACCGTTTGAGTAGCATCAGTGCAACAAGTCCAAAACTTTGTCGTGTACACAAATATTTGTCAAAGAATGCACTCTCACATGGACTTCTAGTAAAAACCTAAACAATGAAGGTGTGCCATCAACCAATATCAATACTTGAAAAGTTCTTTTCAGTGTGGCTGGAAAATTTTTGAGGCATTCGATTGTGTTCAATAAATATTATACTGTAATAGATAAAGTGACTTTTTGCTATCCGTCAAGGTAGGCCTATTGAATGAGTATGCAAGTGATATACATTTCAACAGAAAAACCGAAGGTGCCTTTACTTCATTTGCTAATTTGATTCCAGTCAAAGGCAGATCCCAGGGAGGGGCAATGGAGGGTATGCCCCCTCCCCCCAGAAAGTGTCTAGAGAAATGGGGGAGGGGGGATATTTAGAGAAAAGCAATTTTTGGCTGACATGTAAAATGTTTTTTATTTAATTTCCTCTTGAAAAAAATGTACAAAGCCCAAAATGTTGCCTCACCCCTCTGAAATTTCTTAAACAAGGTTTCATGAAAAAAAAGTCAAAATTTTTGGGGCCCCCTAATATGATCACAAATTGGTCGGGGGGTCTGCTGTTGACCCTACAGCCCCCACCAGGTCACAGTTTTTGTGGTCGTCACGCACTTCGCTCTTTGGGAGAGTAAAGCTCGCTGACTCCATAGATTTGGTGGTAGGCTAACCATTGCTCTTTTGGACACTTCAATATCTCATTCAATTTATCACTGGAGACATCACATCTAGACATCACAGACCAGACTCAAGACTAGTCGCCATGAGACCAGTCGCTGGCCCTGGAATGCTTTTGTTGCAATTTATTTGAGTACATGTAGCTTGTTATTTGAATTCAGCCTGGAGGTATTTTGTTTGATGTTGATGCATCTTCCACCCATTAAAATGGGGCATTGAAAAACTTCCAAAACTAAATTATCCCCAGGTGAGAAGTACCTACACCTGTTTTCATGGAATGGAAATATAAATTATGAGTTTTTTCTTGTTATAGAAATAGAAAAGATAACATCAAGCCAATCTTTTACTTCGGCAGTTTACATTTATGCTGTCTAAATGAGAATTATAGTTTGGGAAAACCAAGATTTCGGCTTGAATTGTTTTTTCATACACAATATATTTCCATGATCAGCCCCCTCGTGCATAGAGTTTTATATTACTAAGTATCACGAGAGGGCGCTCTCAAATGGTGGGAAAAAAATCCGTTGCAGCAAACAGCCGTCCATTAAAATAGAAAAGCAATACCGAGAAAATTAAACATGGCGACTCGTGGTTAGCCGGTTGGTAATTTGGGGGATCGTCATCGGTCCAGAATTTCTATTTAGTTGTCTTCGTTGTAACAATCTTTTCCAAAATGTCTGACTCCGACGAGTTTCCAGAGACCATTGATGAACTCCGGGTGGAAATTGAACGTCTGAAGGATGAATTAAACCTCGCAAGTCAAGAGAAAATCCAGGCGGCCGAATATGGGTTGGTTGTGTTGGAAGAGAAACAGGCGTTAAAACAACAGTTCGAAGAACTGGAAGTGTTGTATGAAACCTCCAAGACGGAACTTCAACTGGCCAAAGAGGTGACGTGCACTGATTTTTGTAATGCATTTCCTGTCATTGGGTAAGAGTTCGGAGCCAAGAGTTCCATAGGCCTCCGAACATCACAAATTTTTCCCTGCATAAGGCTTTAGGGCCTAGCCTAGCCCAGGTTGGCAGGTTAGATGTTGTCTTCATTTCATTACAACAACGTAGTACGGTCAGGGAGTCTAGGCCTAGTCTTTAGAAAGTTTAGTGTCATTGCCTTTTGTCAGTCATGCTGTTTAGCGTCAACAAGCGTCAACACACACAAGTAGGGCCCAACGTCAACAAGCGTCAACAAATTTAAAATACCCTCTACAGACTTAAAAGTATGTTAGAGACTCTAACAGTTGGCCTAACACTTGCCACTGTATAAGAGAAACACGGAATTTGCCTCCAGATTCTCGCAGGAAAACGAAAATGTTTGCGATGTACATGTATGGGGGCCGCCATCTTTCTTTCCTCTGCCGTCCATGCGGAAACAAGATGGCGGCCGGTCAGACAGCACTAACAGGCCCAACTTTGTCACTCAAATTTCATCTGTCAAATATCATTTCAGATCGATAAAATACATACACTGTAAAATTTGATATTTAAGATCCTACTTAACTGTTTAGATAAAAATCTTTGCATAAATATGTTTTAATAACTTGTTGATGCTTTGTTGATGCTTGTTGACGCTAAATAGCATGACCCCTTTTTGTGGACTGGTTTAGACCTAGGCGGAGCCTACTTCAAGAACTCAAAGTCACTACTCCATCATACTCCTTGTGACTTTGAGCCAAAATGGTTTACATGGTGTCCAAATGCTATTGGGTTTTGGAATCAGATTGTTGTGGTGAAATTATTCACTGGTGTAAGAAATCTACATGTATTAGGCCTAGGCCTAAATCAAATTTTCCCCTGTCAGGAAAGCTGATCAATCTTTGTGTTGTTTTCATCCAATCTTGGGACTGTCCTGGCTGCTGCTGTGACCTGGAAATTTATCGGTGGGACGTGTGACCTGCTGTTTTTTTAGTGTGCTGTGTAGCTGTGACATATTGCGAGACTTAAAAATCCTCCCCATTCTCCACCCAGCACTGACTGAGAGTGCATCCTGATCATGCTGATCAAGTGATCGTGCCCAACATACATTGTACATGTAGTGCTCTACATGTAGTTACTGGGTCAAGGCTGAGGAGAAATCGTTTTTAGGTATATTTTAGAGTTTGCACTTGTTGCGATAAATTTACGAAACTCAAACTGTGGAGTATTATTGCTTAATCATAATGCAAGATTTGTCGATATTCCACCTTTAGCCGATCACATTTTTCACGGTTGTGGAAAATTGTTTTGAAAGAGCAAGCAAAGTTGGAGATTTCGTGCAGGATCAATCAATCACGTGCAGCATGATCGTTCAGGTGAATTTGTGCCAATTTGTTGTGTTTGACCTTCACAACAGTGTTGACCAGAACTAAACTACATACATGTATACATTTTAAGCAGATGAAAACGTGAAATTGTACATTACAATTGCCTTATACTGTATGTATAAGGTCCTTCAGTAGTCAAGCTCCTTTTGTTATTAGGCAGCATTGTTGAATCATGGAATCAAAATAAAAGTCACTTCTTAATACTGGTCAGCATTTGTTCTGCCACAGTGGAATTTGTAAAAGAAGGAAACTGAAACGGTTCTTCAGAAGATTTGGCGAACCTTACATTTTATTACATGGAACTGTGTGATGAGACAGTGCATGTACTGTATGTACAGCACATGTACATGCACATGTATTGTACATGTACATGTTCATGTACATGTGGATGGTAGGCCTACATTGTAAATGCCAATTTTATATTTTGATTTTCTGGCTCTGACACTACAATCATCTCAAGTTGTTTGGAAGAAATTACATGTAAATCAAAAATTTGCCAAATTGAATTTTAGTCCCCCTCCCATTTGGCTGAAAAGAGGGCAGTTGATCCATAGTACCCAAAATAAGAAAGGTTTGTTCAAAAGATCATTTGTTAAAGGAACAACTGGAAAAGTAGCTCCATGGTTTGGTCAGTGATTGTGTATCACTGTACTGTGTTTTCCTTCAACAGACGTAATCAAAATTCATTTCAAATTAAAAGCCCATTTATTCAAAAGTCACTCCTATTCCTAAAGTAACTTCCAAATGTAGTTCGCATTCATGTAAAATCTAGAGGCCTTTTACACTTAACCTGGGCAAACTATGCCTGCCGTGGGTTGAAAATTTGATTTTTTAAACCTCACTTCCTAATCGGTGTTGCTTCACAGATATTACAGGGGTGAGTTCGACCGGAAATGAACATTTTCAGATGTGAATTGTCACCATTTGTCAACCCTGCATCAACCCCAAGATTATGTCTGGTGTAAAAAGGCCTTAAATGGGTTAAGCAGATGCTGTGGCTATCATAATGAAAGAAATATTTCAAGCATGTGAAAAAGGGGGGTTGAAAAGGAAGGGTAATTCTTTTGTGTCATCAGTGGCGCAGTGGGTCTAGAGTACATGTACATCGTACGCATACCTGCACATGTAAAGTATAGTATAATTGCACGTGAAGACCCTGATGAGTCTGGTGTTGAAAGCAGAGTTAAGACCAGCCTGAAGAACACGCCTACATGTAGATTGTAAGTTTTCCTGACAGTTCATGGCATAAAAAAGACATAAAGGATTCTGACCAATTGCCTGGGGTTTGGAAGGTGATACATGTATATCGTTTTTGGGATGGGCCAGTTTGTGGTTGTAGCACATTCATTGAAATGTTTTGGTACAAGAAGTCGAGAACTGTACTCAGAAGAGTTAATGATACGGTAGGCGTACCGTACTTTGTGGCTGGTTCTCGGTAGAATGTGATGTCTTGAACATTAATAACGATGCAATGGAATGCTGGTTCAAAGCCATATTCCACATTGTTACTGCTTTCTACACACACCGGTACATGTACAGTGTAGTACATCATGCATTTAACTATTCCAATAGTTCAGGTGGAGGTCATTTTGTACATGTACAGTACATGCACGTATGTAGTCTGCATGTACATGTGTATAAGTTACATGTACATGTACTTGCGGTACGTTTTGTACACAACCAACAAAGTGATGAACAAGAGGTGATACATGTACAGTTTATGAATATTGTATGAATTTACTCATAGAGCTAGGAACATGCAAAAGAAATTCCACAGTACATGTAATGCTGTATTTTTCTGCTTCGTTTTGGAGAATTTATGAGAATATCCTATAAATTTACTCATAGAGCTAGGAACATGCAAAAGAAATTCCATAGCACATGTAATGCTGTATTTTTCTGCTTCGTTTTGGAGAATTTATGAGAATATCCTGTTGTGTACAAATGCTTACCGGTAGCTGATTACTGCAAAGGAAGTTACATGTACAATACTGGGTTTTTATTCTTCAGCGAATCATCCAACAGACATGTACATGTACATGTACCTGTAGGCATACGGTACCTGTAGGCATACGGTACATGTACCACTGTGCAGTCCTCTTGGTCTTATGCCCAGATGCTTGCAATCCTAACTTAATATGATGAGTACTTTTTTGGCATGAGAGTTCAGTCTAATACAAGGTAGTCTTCCTTGTACATACATGTACATGTAAGTTGTATTTGACTGCTTGTACCCGGTATGTACAGTACATACATGTACATGTATATACATGTACAGGTATATTTGTGCGAATGGACCGGTAAAATCTTCCCCCAGCTAACCAAAGAAACAACCACAGAGTGCCAATTACATGTACATTTCTGGAATAAAAATGTACACGGTACATGTTGACTGGTACAGTGTACAGGAAAAGTCTATCATTTTTACGAACCGATAAACGAACAAAACACTGATAACTCATATTTGCTGAAGCCATGTGTCCTTTGTACAAGTGATGTGATTTCATTTGTATGGAGTAGCTGGCCTCGCGTAGGATGCAGGATGGTATCAGTATCCTTTTGTTCTCCACAGACAAGAACAGCTGTCCCCGTTTCTGCCCATACATGTACATTGTATCACTGATAGTTGGGGTCTGTGACCACATGGGGCTAGAGAGTCTGACTCAATTTACCAACTCCCCCTGCATTATTTTTGGAGCATGCACAAGGTGTGGGCAGATGGGTTGATGCATGTAATCCTGCCTGCCATATTAAGTTGTGAATATTCACAGCAGTGCTTTTGTTATTTAGGATGAGTCATTACCCCAAAGCATGCATAGTTCCTTGAACATTTATGTACATACATGTACGTCTATCAAACTACATGTACATGTACACTGTACATACATGTACAATGTACATGTACACTGTACATGTACATACAGGTACATGTACAGATATATGTACATGTACTTTTTATGCTAGGTACATCATGTGTACACATATTTATGTCCCAACATTTGCCTAATTTAAAATGTAGGCCTAAACTCTACATTTTGTTGACGTTAAGCTCTAATTAAAACTTTTTATTTTTATTTTTTTTTTTTTAAACTGAAGATTCTTTGAATGCTGTGCAAATATTTATTCATACATACTGTTGAGTTATACTCAAGTTGTTTTGTCTGGTCAAGTAGAGCTTCCTGGCAAATGAAAAGGAAGACTCCAGAAAAAATATTTGCACAATACGGGCGATTCACAATTGTGCGCCTCCAAGAGTTTGCAAAGCGTCGACCGGTCACAACGCGTGAGATCTGTTGACCCTTTCCACACGCGCATTGGGTCGACAGATTTTGCGCATTATTGGCCATGCGTTACAAACTCTTTGAGGTGCACTATTGTGAATCGCCCCTTTTCCAATATACACGTACATACTGTACATGTACATGCACATTCTACAATCTGCATGCTGTCCTGTGTATGTACTAATTCAGTCCTTGTGGCATGGAAATTGCAGGCGTGTGAAGAAAAAACTCTCCTGGATATTTTCAGGTGTGCAGTTTTTCTAGGAGTGTGATTTTGAACAATGAATCAAAACCTTCATGACCTTGGGTCAATCAAGACCTAGTAAAATACAAAGATAAAGTTGGGTCAACCGTACGTATAAAATTCAACAAAACCAACAAAAAATAGTGCAGCAGTTTCAAATTACACCCGCTTACTTCAAGCAAACTCCAAGAGATACCTGTATGTCCAATACATGTAAAAGAATCAAAGTTTTATGACGGTCATAAAATCAACTCCTTTCCATAATAATAGCAGCCTCATGGACCATGCAGAGCTGCTCTGACTGAGCCACAAGATCACTCCAATATTCTCAATTAAATTTTTCCAATAAATCTCCAGATTGTCACGAGGTTTCTTTTCGCCAAATCTCTTTCCTGTGAGTTGCATGTATTTCCGTTCATAACACTTTTATTGGGAAACATCAGGACGTTTACATGTCTGCACCCAAAGATCTGCTGCAATCTACGCTGGCATGATCTCTCCATGGCTTTCACACACTACATGTACATGTACGTGGTGCATCATGATTGACTGGTCTGGTCCCAGTCTCAACTTCAAAGGAATGCGTTGGTTCACTACGCGAAGGGTGCCGGAGCCTGCATCATGAAAGCTTGTCGACTTCCGGAGATCGTTTTGTGCAGATGCAAGTAAAAGCCCAGATGTTTTTTCCAAAAAAGTCGTTGTGATCGGAACAACTTACAGGATAGACATCTCCACAAAATACTGGGGATGATCAGGGAATTCATTGGAAAAATTTGACTGAGAAGTGGTGTGATCTCGTGGCACTGCGTTTGACGTGTACAAGCTTGTGAAGATATGTACAGTCTGGTGTATCATGCATGTGGCAATGCTTGCTGCAACGTTGTGCAAAATGGGTCTGCTGAACGATTGTGCACTGACAGAGCTGTCACGCAAAACTGTTACACCTGGAAAATAAAAAATGATTCTGTCATCACTAACTGTCAGGTACGCCTAATGTTTGATTCTTTTTGTTTCATTTTTCTCAAAAATTGCAAAGTATAATTATGGAGTAAACTCGTGCCGAGGAGTGTCGTACATGTACGGGTGGTTTCAGGTACCGGTATGCAATTATTTGTACGTCTCAGGAAGCTTTTAGGCGTGCGATGGCGTGGGAGTGCAATCGCACGCCTTAAAATGACAGGACGGTATTATGGTACCGGTACATGAACATAATGAATAGGGGTCCATAGGTCACTCACATTGATTTCATGTGTACATCAAGTACCTGACTAAATACATGTACATTTCTGCAGGTTCATGTATGCCTTCTGGAGGGGGCCAAGGGATCTATACATACATACATGTACCTGCAGTACATGTACATGTACGTGTACCAGTACAGTAAATTGATATTGTCTTGGACTTGTTCGATGTTGTACAATAGCCTAACCATGGTAACTATCAGCCACATTTGGGAGCATGAAATCTGAAGTTTTTATGCAAGATACCCTGCAGTTTGAAGTCCCTCTCTTTCTTTAATTTTAGATGAGAGCACAATTGCATACTGTAGAACATGAACATGTACCCGGGGTACACATGTACATGTACCCGGGGTACACATGTACATGTACCCGGGGTACACATGTACATGTACATGTACCCGGGGTACACATGTACATGTACATGTACATGTACATGTACCCGGGGTACACATGTACATGTAGGCCTACATGTATGTTGTCCAGGATCTGCAGGGGATTTACCATAACCTCCAATCATACAGCATTTTCAGCTTTGGATGGAAGTGTGTGCCTGTTTCATGTTATAAGGCAGAATTTTGTTTTTGTAAATAAATTTTTTTGTCCAAACATAATTTCATAGCTTGAGATTTTTTTGCTGATGATCAACTTCCCAGCATTAAAAATGTCATGTACAAATCTCCAACATCATCAATTAACAGCAATTATTTGGTTGACATGGTGGAAATGTACTGTTGACATGTACTGTACATTGCAACGCAAAAATTAAAGCCTGAATTACATAATCGTATACCCACATGACCCATGTGCCCTTACAATGTACCTATTAGATTCACATGTGTACATGTACAATGTACATGGTGCATGTTTGCACGCTTACCAGATGTAAACAGAAGGTCACTTGCCAGTGGCCATACTGCCTGCGGACCATATTATTAACTTCAAATGCCCACACATTGTACGTATATGAAGGAGATATTCTTATTACTATTGATTGGTGCATCCACACTTCACAGATATTGATTTCACATGTACAGTGTATGTACAGTGTACAATGTACATGTTTTTTGCTATACACAGATTTTCAGTGCATTTCATTTTCAGACCCATACTTGGCAAAGTTCGTCATTTGTCCAGTGTTACCATGTTTCAGCTCCTTGAACAAGTTTGTGCCTGGATTTTTTTCTTTGCTGCCCGAAGTACATGATTTCATCACAGATAAAGAACAATACTGAAGGGTTCAGCCTCCCCACCCACCCCCCCTTATTTTTCCTCGAGCTTCCAAAAAAACCTCAGTCCACGTACATGTATTCTCCCTGTCCCTCCTCTGCAACCTCGACTGAAAGAGAATGCAAGGGAAAAAAGGGTCATTAACTGTCGATTTTTACAATTACTGCCGAGGGCATGTAGGCTAAAAGTCCGCCCCTCCTAGCCAACATTCTGTACGCTTGTGAAAAAGAAGAGGAAAAAACGTTGATGACTCCTTGGCCTCAGGAAGCCCAAAGTGATCATAAGCCCAGATTTGACATTGTGTCACACCTGCCATACAAAAGCCAAGGGAAAAATACCATAGGGTTAAATTCCATAGGGAACAGACCAGCACTTTTGACAGCAGTACAAAAATAGCATACATTGTCTGCACTTTCCTCTCTGTTTTACGTGTACATGTAGTCAACCAATAGAAATGTATACGTGTCTGGCATAATCCAGGAAGACACTTTCTGTTCCATGCTGGCCAGTCTTGGTATGAGTCATCGTTGACCTTTCATTTGACCTTCCACATTACAGGGTGATCTTATTAACACACCATCAGTAATTTCCCTCGCTGGAGATGTGTTTTCATTGGACTTAAGGGTTTCAGTGGGATGGATACATGTACATGTATGTCTTCCGGTAATAGCCACAGTGTACATGTACATGTACATATAAACGGATTGAATCAAGTTGCTTCATACTGCAGCTGTACCAAAGGAACACCCACGCACTTGAAGAATACTAAATTTGCCATGTTCAAGTTACAGTGTACATGTACGCGTATGCATTTATCGGTACATGTTCATATTAAAATGAAACTGGTGCACATTTACTGGTGCATGTACATGCATGTACTGTAGGCAACATCAAAAATGCTAACAAGTTACCTACACATATCTGTACAGTCGACCCTCATTATTACGAAATGCGCGGGACACAGTGGTATGAGTAGGTGTACAGTGCCCACGTACCGGTACAATGTACATTTACATTTAATGTACATGCATACCCGTGAACATGGTTGATGTTAACGATGTCAAAAAGAACTCTCGGTTGTGATTAAATAAATATGTTGAGATGTGTTTAGAATAATAAACTTCACTGTCATATGACAACATGTTTAATGTAGATGGGAGATTAAAAAAAAGCAAATACTTGTGAAAGCATCGATCCAGGGATTTTTTAAAGACTTTCGATCGTCATGAATGGGGATGAAGCTTACTTAACGGCATGCACATGCAGACCTGTGTGTACCTGCAGGAATGCCAAGACTCATCAACCAGTGCCCCCGGTCCATGTACATGTAAGTAGTCTTTCCAACACAAATTGTGTCATGGAGAGACATTTTTATTTAATTTTCCGTCTGTCATTTGATGTTTGGCACTTGCCCACTAGCTGCATGACCACGATTGATCGATAGTCTGAGTTCGCTTACCACCGCGGCGCGGCCGCCTGTGTGTGACACAGTCGCTGCAGAAGCATGATGTCATGAGGAGATATTATGATTGGATAGCCATTACGCAAAATGTGCGCCATGAAAGCGCACAATCTCATTGGCGGCATGTTAGATCTTTTAGCAGCAATATGAATAACTCAGCGTGGGCGAAAACATATTTGCGTTGTATTTATATTAGAATTGGAAAGGGATTTTCTGTTTTGGTATTTGTGTAATCAGTGTAAAAATCACTGATTTTTTAATCGAGCACTACGCTTGTCATGACAACAGGAAACTGGCGAACGATGTCTGTGTATCGTGTTGTAACATGTGTAAGCATGCGTGATGCATCTGGAGGGGCGGGCATTAAGCCTCGTGCTGCGGCTGGAAATTTTGTGGAAACATTCGTTTCGAGTACGAGCAGTACAACCTCAAATTAAATTCATGAACACAGAAAATGCAAACATAGACACGAGATCAATTTGTGTGAATGAACTTGCAGAAATTTTGTAACAGCAGTGTTTCTTCGACTTCAGCTGTAGAGCTGTACAGTGTTTGTATCACATGTACATTGTATATGATGTAGTGCAACGCATGACACTTTTTGGGGGCTGAAAACTGTACAGGTACATTGACTGGTTGCCACATTTCCATCATGCCACCTTGGACAAAGGTTTGGCCCGGCAGGAACCAGTTTGGTGCATTGCACACGTGTTTTCACCGCCGTGATTCATAAACGCTCGTTATAAATGGGTCATGAACTATGGTTTTTCAGGCAACAGAGTCACAAAACCTTTCGTTGTTACAGGAATTTTGTACAATGCGATTTCATTGACACAGATTTTTTTCCCCATTGAGATGTGTACATTTTTGCCTGGACCACAGATGTGTGTTTGTTGTAACCGGAATTTCGTTGTAGCCATTTTTATAATAACGAGAGTCGACTGGACATGTACATGCAGAATGATGAAATCCCTAACCCCCGCTGGTTCCCTGGGCTTCCCTGGTACCGTCAAATTCAGCAGAATCATACAGTGACTTACATGATGTACTGACACTAGTACATGTAGATATTCCCTCCTAAAATAACTTTCTAAAATGACTTGCCTGCTCAAAATGCAATAGAATCTAACTGGGTCTTATTAATTTTTGCCTGGGAATCCAACAATATGTACATGTATATGTAACACATGTCAGCCGTGCGCAAATGGACACCAGACTCCAGTGTTGCTTTCAGCTCCACATGTACATGTAAAGCTACATGTTCATACATATACTGTGTATTCAAGGAGTGCACATTCATGATGAACATGTCAATGTGGCATGATTGCATTGCGTTTCAAACTGCTACATGGACATGTACATGAGCCAGCTAACCTCTGGCACCTCTTGCAGGCTGTAATTGCAAGCAGTTTGGATTGATGAACCGTTTATTCCTTGGCTTACAAGCATATAAATAATTTAGCGCTGTCATCATAAAGGATGATTTCCAGAAGTTGATAAAGGTGTTGAAAACCATGAACAGTTTTTAGGCCTTTTCATACTACAACCGCTTAACCCGGGTTGAATTCAACCCTGGGTGAACCTGTGGCTGCCCTGAGTTGAAAATTCTATTTTTCGACCCGACATTCAACTCAGTGTTGTTTCACACTTGTTTCATATGAACCAAGTTTATCGGATGAGTTAACCCAGAAATGAGCACGGAAAATTTTCAACCCAGGTCAGGAGCATGGTTGAGTTCAGCCTTGAAATCAGTCTTGGAGTTGATGCAGGGTTGGCGTGGGGTTGAAAATGTTCAAGTGTGAGTCATCACCAGTTTTCAACCCTGTGTCAACCCCAAGATTTGTCTAGTGTGAAAAGGCCTTTTTTATGTAGAGAGAATGGTACCGGTAGTCTGTTACTCATTCTTTATTTTATGGGTACAACCAATGGAATCTGTTTGCTGTGCATTCAGATGGCCACTGTTTCATCAATCTGTGTTTTCAGTAACAAGTGGGATGTCAAAATGTGTGGGAGGAAATGGCAGTTCAGTCTCATTTGATTGTTTTCTTTGGAAATCTAAATATTAAACGTAGGTTTGCAAGAAAAAAACAAGTGGAGACCAGTACTTTATTTTTGTGACATGTTTAGTTATGGAGACGCATAGTTCCACTCTGGGCCAAATTTACGATACAATGTACATTGTACATATGCAGTATAGTTTTGGCCCAAGGCATGCGGTTGATAAGTGACACATTGAATTCAATACATTTAATGAGTACTTCATATTTTACGCGCACTCAGACCCGCACACTCCTGTGCAGATGTCAGTGAACCTGAACCCTGATGTCAGTGGAATTTTATGGTGGGTTTTTCAATGACAATACATGTACATGTGTATTCCAGCACATGACAATGTACCAGGATCCATGTGTTTGCGTGGGCAATTTGTCAGCAGTTTCTGTTTGGAGAGAGTATTGTTCAGCAGGTAGTGGGTGGTGAAAAAAGTACCATAGGTACATGCACATGTATTGGAGAATGCTGCTTTAGAAGGTCTTTGTAAAAGCCAGAATTGCTGGCATCTACCGATACTAGTATTGTCATCAAGAGTAGTCCATTCAAAGCATCAATTTCTTTGACATATTGGAATTGAAACTTAAGACCCTTACTTTTGTAGGCCAAACTTTGAGGGTTACCAGACAGAAAACTTATACCTTTGACATGTTTGTTGGCAGACACTTGTTACTTGTATGTACATGTACATGTGCATGTGGGTCTTTATTTTAAATAGGGGGTATGTGACATGGTGGTCAAAATTTCAAAATTGTCTAAACAAATTCAAAACTTGTTGATATGTAATTGATAATACATACATGCAATAAATGGAAATGATTTTTGCTTTGAATAACTACTTGACGTGTACAGACTCAATTTGTGCAGTGGTGCGGGAAATTATTTGACGTGTAACAGAGAAACCAAATATGATGGTTCTATGCATGCCACTTTTGGTTAGTGAAGGTTTCTTTTCAACTTTTCAACTTCAATTTTGTTTTGTGTACATACCATATATTCTCATCACAAGTTGTTTTTTTCTAGATAGGGTTTCAGGCGGCATAAAAATGGGCAAATGGGTTTCCGATTCATATGCTCATTTTTATTTGTAAGTTTTAAGTGGCTATTGTGCTCCTTTTTTCAGCAAATACGTTAAGTTTCAGGTACATGTAAATTTTACCTTCATGTCTTGAGAAGAAACCTGCAACCCGTAACTTTTTTTCACAGCGTAACATGTGAATAACGAAACTTCACTCAAAATTTCTCGATGATGAAGGAATGGCATGTCTGTGTCATGTGACGATCACGTGACAGCACATACAGGCTTGCAATATGATCCCGACTCGGGCGAACGTTAGAAGTTGCACAAACTTTTTTGTTTACAACGTAACAATTTTGCAAGTAACCAAAATATTTTTTGACAAGAATTGAAATGTTTGGGATCTCAGACACAAGTTAGTTGGACGTATTTTGGGGAATACTTACAGTTGATATTTTAGGTTTTCTAAATGATTTGCAACAGCTTTTTGTTTGTTTTTAACAGCCAAAAATGATTTTAACTTCGTAACAACTGGAGGAACGAAATGTTACGTTGTTATATCAGATTATGATGGCACCTGTATTCTCAATTAAAATGAATTTCATTTGTAGATTTATCCGACATCATAATTTACCTTTCTGTTGATAGGTTAGTGAGAAAATAAACAAATTATTTGTTTGGCCAGTGGTATGAAATGTCATATGAAACAGGTCATCAAAAATGTCACGCTAAATACCAAAAAAACCCAGTGAGAAACGAGGATTTTTTTTTCCTTACAATTATTGATTAAATCAACTTTTTTTAATGTAAATGAATTTAATGTAATCAACACATATTAATTGACAAATACATATGAAAATTAAATGGGAAAGTGAAACTGGTGTTGTTTTGAATGGTCATGATAATTGTGATGTCCCTGAAATACACAGTGGCCCCCACATTAAAATAAAGACCCATGTATTGTACATGTACATACATGTAGCTTTTGGATCCCACTTTGTCAAGCAAACATCTGTAGCCAAGAGCAAGTTTGAAAATTGTGTATAAAGAATACAACAGTTGTGAATTTTTAGGTGGACAAGGTTGAAGTCATCCACTGTCCAGTGTACATGTAAGGTTATTTGCAAGAAAGTTGGTTCTTGAAAAAGTAGTGAGACCCATTCAAAAATCCCTTCATCAAGTTTTCTTGTCTGTCTGCAGGCCTTAGATCAGCACCAACTCAACCAGAAGAAGCACACTCTCCAGGAGGTGAACCGGGAGGAGAACCTGCTCAAGGAGACGGCCACGCGAGAGGCCGACCTTGTCGAGCGTATCTCGGACCTCGAGTCGGAGAACAAGAGCTACCGGCAGGAGCTGACCCACATCAAGATCGAGAATGAGAGGCTGCACGCTCGGCACGGTGAGCTGGTGGTGCAGACGGAGAAGTTGGAGGTGGTGCGCAAGACACTCAAAGATGAAGTTCGGGACATTAAGTTCCGGGAGACCAGGCTCCTGCAGGACTACAGCGAGCTGGAGGAGGAAAATATTGCTATGCAAAAACAGGTAGGATCAGATACATGTTGAAGATTTTAGGGTGACTCCAACATGAACAAACCATGTTTGTTGTCTCGTTGGTATGGTTAATGTACTCCAGTTGATGGCAAATTCAAACTGTCATATGCTATAGAAGTGATGGGGCAACTTGCACCTTTTCCATGTATTTTGGAAAATGACCATCTGGCTTTCCCACTTCTGAATTCTGTACCATGTACAGCTGTAGCTATTTAATTCTTTTCTCCTCGTATGTCAGAGCTAGTTTGTATATTGAAGTAATTATTCATTTCATACTAAGCCAAAGACAATCCAAATGAATTCCCACATTTTAAGCTCTGAATGGGCAGCGGTTCTTACAGCAGTGAAGTGCATTTTTCAGAGTTTATCATGATATTATTTTGCAGATATCGATGTTGAAGTCCTCAGTTGTGGAATACGAGGCCATGAAACATGAGAACCGCCGTTTGACTGAAGAGACCCAGTACCTGAACACACACATCGAGGACCTGATCCGTCTCAGAGAGATCGCCGACAAGCAGATCGAGGAGACGCTCCAAGCGCTGGAAGCCGAGCGGGAACAGAAGCACTACCTCAAGAAACAGCTAGACCAGGCCATGATCATGGAGATGGAGGCCTTCAACAATGACCTCATGAACAGCTCAGGCCTCTTGGGCGAGGACGCTGACTCAGATACGGAGTCTCAGTCCCCCGATCACCCCATCCTGCGCCGCATGGAGTATGAATTCCAGTCCACCAACGGCACCAATGGTCTGCACATGCACGGTCAGTCGACCTGCATGGGCTCCGATCTCTACAGCGAGATGCAGTCCACAGAAGTTCAGAAGCTGGAGGAGCAACTGGCCAAATTGCAGACAGAGAAAACAGAACTCTCCCAGAACTTGGAGCAGACCATCGGGGCACTGAATCGTCTCCCAGATGACCTGAACATCTCTGGAACAGACAGTGAAGGGGAGCCACTGCCTGAAGACTTGAGTGTCCACCACCGCAAGCTACTGAACCTTGTGCGGCTTGTCAAACACCACGAGAAGAAGTATGCAACAGCGATGTCCCAGATAACTGCCTTGCAAGCAAAAGTGGACAATCAGCAGGATAAGTTGAATGAGGAGAGCAAGAAGCCAGACCTGCAGTCAGAGGTGGACCTTCTGAATGACCGGAACAGGCATCAAGAGATGACTATCAAGAGTTTGCAGACACAGATGAGACAGATGAACGATATCATCATGGAATCACAGGGTCACTTAAACTGTACACAGGATGAACTGATCAATGTAAGTGAGGACTTGGCCCAGTTGTACCACCACGTGTGCGTGGTGAATGGCGAGACTCCCAACCGCGTCATCCTGGACCACCTCAAGGCAACAAGACAGAGCAGACGGGAGAGCTTCCGAGCAGAAATTGCCAGCAGGTTAAAGGAGGTGTCATTTGATGCAGACATGAGTAGGGAGAAACCTGTGAACTTGAATGCTAGTGAAAATGATGGGAACATCAGCACAGATGAGAGCTCCTCACCTGCCTCTAGCATCAAGTCATCCACCCCCATCTCTAGCCCATCCAGGCGGATACCAGATGCCTCACCGAGAATGGTTGGCAGCGACCCGATCACCTGCAACAATCTGTTGACAACCATTCGGGATCAGATCAAGTATCTTAAACGATCTGTGGAGCATGCGGTAGAAATGTCACGGCAGCGCAGCAATGAGACTGCCGGATCGGCTGAAACAGAAGACTTGCGCGAGGAGGTCATGAAACAGAAAGCGCTCCTTGCCACAAAACGAGACCAGATTGTAACGCTCAGGACAGTCCTTAAGGCCAACAAGACAACAGCTGAGGTTGCTCTGGCCAACCTAAAGAGCAAATACGAGAATGAGAAAACCATTATCGCTGAGACGATGATCAAACTTAGGAACGAACTGAAAGCTCTCAAGGAGGATGCAGCCACATTTGCCAGCCTCCGCGCCATGTTTGCCACACGGTGCGATGAGTACGTGACCCAGCTGGACGAGATGCAACGCCAGCTGGCCAGTGCCGAGGAGGAGAAGAAAACCCTGAACTCCCTGCTGCGTATGGCCATCCAGCAGAAGCTAGCCCTGACCCAGCGGCTTGAGGACCTGGAGTGCCACACCGAGCTGCAGCAGATCAACCCCCGCAAGGCGGCACCCAGGCGCCACAAGCCCTCCAAAGTAAGAGACCCTGTCTACATGCAGGGCTACGGCCCTCCCTTTGGGCTGTTCCCAATGCCATTGGCACCTCGGTTTCCTTCTCAAATAAATACCTTTCCTCACCCTGTTCCTCACCCTGTTCCTCACCCTGTTCCTCACCCCGTTCCTCACCCTGTTGCTCACCCGCCTCCCCCTCCCCATTCTCCTCATCATCCTCCTCCTCCCCACTCTCCTCATCGTCCTCCCCCTACTTCTACTCCACCCCTTCCCCCTGGTATGTTGCCACCTCCACACCACCCTCATCATTTTCATCACACTGGTCCCCACTAGTACAAACTAAACCTCTGCTGGTATGTACTGTTCCTTCAGATGCTCTTTTCCTTCCAGTGACTTACATACTGCAAGTCAAAGTTTTACCAGATTCTCTTTTCTTGTACACTCATAATTGGGCATTATAAGTCATGATTGTTTCCAACCTCACAAGAAGTTGAAAAAGAATTTCTTTGTCAACTAGATGAAATAGAATAAATAGTCTGTTGCAAGATGTTCCCTCATTGTAGAACTTGAAGCGATCAGAAATCTCAGTTACCAGATTTGGATTTGATATGCTAAAGTTTGATCGTAAAGCATACATGTACATGTAACAGAAAAGTACAGAGAGCCCCAACCAAGGTTTAGATCAAGGCTCAGAGCCCTTAATAGTTGCTACATTACATCAGAAGCACCCAACTCAAATCAATCAATTTCCTATTTAAAAATCGTGTGGGTTCTCTTACTGAGGGTCAAAATCAAGGTCAGCTCAGTCAGTGCAACCAAGATTTGACAGTAGCAAGTGCATTGTACACGTACATTGTAGTACTGTACATGTATGTATGTCATGCACGTAGTAATTCCCTTGGCAGGCAGTGAAGCGCACACAACATGTACATGTAAATTAACCTTGAGCAACTTTGCCCACGCCCACAGATGTACGTAGGTACTTGTAATACTAATATCTAATACTCATTGGAGGTGGCCCCAGATGCATTGCTTACAACTATACTTGGCATGCTGATTTTTATTTTCTTTTGGGTTGCATGCATTTCACTGCTTGTGTTGGTATGACTAATTCAGTTTGGTTTATTTTGTGGCATTTTCGTACTAACTTTGCATGTTGAGTGGAGGTCATACACGTAAATTGCATGCATAAGTCATTATGTGGCAAAGCCCTTAACTGACCAGAATGATGTACAGTGTATGTGCAAGGTTTGGTTTAGAATTCTAAATCTTTGACCTGTGCATCTGAGTTGGAGAAGACCACAAGCTTTTATTCTCTAATTTCATTTTCAGTATCCATGCATCCAAGAAGAAGAAATAATCTGCATGTACTTGTACACATGTACATGTACGTGCACATGAACAAATTGACTTATAAGGACCAGCATTTAAAGAAACATCCACAGACTTAATTTTGCTATACATGTACAATGTACATGTACATTTATGAACCTTTAGCATTACTGACATAGCCTACAGATACATGTACATGTACAAGTATGTACTGGTTTACACACAGTACCCGGTACATGAACAGGTTCATGCACATTGTACATGTAGGCCTGTACATGTACATGTATGTGTATACTGGTGCATGTACATGTTGTGTGTATGTGTACATGTGCATATTTAGGGCCTACACTAGACTCACTCATACATGTTCATGTATACAGTTGGACATGTATACATGTACATGTACATACATGTACCGTACACTTCATCTTGTGCTCATATACATGTGCACGTATGTCGTACAATTGAGGGCTATGGTACTGTGTGTACACGTCACCACATCCTTTCCAGTTGCAAGAAACCGGTATTGCTGCCCAACATGACAGTAGCGCTGCTACATACACATGTACAGGTGAACTGGTACAAACAGCGTGGAAATGTACATGTACATCATGTCCTACATAGATATTTACCATACCAGTACAACTCTTCAAAGCGGATTTCCTGTTACCTGTACTGGGGGTTTCTTTCAAAAGTTTCAAATTTGAATCAGGAACTTATGTTCGTTGTGATGCATATGTAGGCATTGCAACTTGTGTTATTGCCATGCACCTTTCAAGGAAAAATGTAGATTTTAGGGTTGACTGTATAAATAGCAGAACAACTAGTAAATGGGAACAAATTAAATTTGTAAAAAGCGAAGTTTCTGGGATTGCTCGGGGCTTTGGAATTAAGTCTGTTGTTGGTTCGCCACAAAAGTCACCTTTGTTGATATTTTGAATTGAACAAGAGCATTGTTACTGACCACATTTTTTTGTAAGCTAAATTGCCAGGAGTGAAGCAGAATGAGGATTGGAATGTGCAGATCGATGTCTAGCAACAGGTTGATTGGTGGTGTCTTGTCAACAAGCCCAGTGAACAAATAAATTAGGTTTTAGTCCTTGCCCACGGGCCTTGGCCTTTTTCCATAGTTTTTCCATCCCTGTCTTTAAAAGTCCTTGATAAGAAATACTTCATTTACTCATGGCCTAATTATACATACTGATACATTGTACATGTACACGTACCATTTCTCCACCGAGGTTCAAAATCATAGTGTTCATAATCCTAGCTGTACACTTTTACATTACACAAAAATATAAATTACATTGTACACAAAATGCAGTGCTTGTACATGCACTCGTACATAAACACTTCTTGTTTCTTTTTGTGTCCCCAAGTTTATTAATTATTTTAATACATAATGTACATGTGGGTAAACTTAAATTACACCAGTAGAATCCCCAAATTTGATACCTTTACTTGGTATGCGTACTTATTTTCAGCCTTCCTCAAGGAATGTTGCCAAACAGAAATGTTTGGAGCTCACCAGAATTTCATTTTCTATCAGTACATGTGTACATACAGTAGCTCACGTTTAAACTACATGTATAGTATTGAAAAAATGCTTGAGGAAAGTACAGAACACCTGTATACATGTACATGTATATGTACATGTATGTGTGATGTACATGTACACATACAGTACATACCTTGTAGGACAGGCCACACCAGAGGCCCTCATGGATTTCAGGCCTTGAGGCTTACACTATTGCAGGATATGTGTTGAAAATCCAACCTTGTACATGTAACTCTTTCACGATTGAAGGAAAAGGTCACTGGATCAGCCAATTTGTGCACACTGATTTTTATGGTGCAGTGTCAGTTAACTGTGGGATGGACTTTCGTTAGATCCCAGGTTGTTCTTCTTGGGTTGTCCTCACCAGATGTAAGGGTATCCACTATGGTGAAATTGTGTGGAATTATGGTGTGTTGTGTGGTGTGGCCCTGCATGAAACCTGGTGCTGTTTTATTGTCACACAGGGAGTGTTCCAGGCATGCCTAAGCCATTTCATAATAGACTTTGAGTAATGGACCTGTGCTCAGAATTGTACACATTGAAACTTTGCCTTTGAAATGTGCTCATATCTCATGCACCCTCTTGCCCAAGCATCCACATGCATGTCATTGCTACAAAGGGAGGAGGCCTACATCCTTTATCAAAGGGACAAATTCAGTTTTTGTAACAAATGGACCTTGAGCAGTTTCATCATGCACATACAGGTGGTCCACATGTACGGTAGCTCATAGTAGCCATAACCTTGCTTCTTAATACTTGAGATATATTCAGTTGGTGACATAAAGAGTAACTTGAAGATATTTTCCATAATCGAAATGGCTGTGGCATCCTGTGAACACTGAAGGCTGTGACCATATTTTTGTTTAAAATGTACCGTAAACTATGTGCAGATCCTCCCCCCCTCCATGTTTATGAAATTAGGCTCACATTGAGTTAATACACGCCTCCCTAAAAATTGAATAATTATCCAGAATGCTGCAATTGCTATTCAAATCAGCCTTGCAAAACATTTTTAAAATGCAGTGTAAGCATTCATTGGCTCAAAGTTTAGGTCAGATTTCAAGCATGAAAGATGTCGCCCGCATGTTCCTTCACCCTACAGCAGCATACCGTACAGACGTGTACATGTAGTCAGGCTGTGTCCAGAATCTACTGACTGCGACTACCAGTATGCAGTAATGCAGATCTGTGGAAAGTGGCTGTAACTACTAGCCACCCCAGCCGTAGCCATTGCATTCAAATGCAGCCGTAATTTGACCAACACAAATGTGATACTGTACATTTAAATTTAAACCTTGAAGATGTATCTTCGGGGTTCAGACCAATGAAACCATGGAGAACCATGAAGTATTGTATTTTTTTCACCATTACCTGCCATGCTTACTGGTAGCACTCTTTGAAATATGTCTAGCTACATGTAAAGTAGTTATTCACATGTACACTAAGCCTGAATAATTTACCCTACAATGGCATTAACACCATAACAGTCCTCAAGCCTTCACCAGTTCGAGTAGTGAGGACCGTTAGGGTTAACCACCAACAACGCAAAGTTCAAATTAAAATCCACAAGAAGGGTAGATTTTGCTGTATTTGGATGAAATTCAGGTTTGGGTATGTGCATTGTACAAAGTACATATACATGTACATGTTCCTCTCATCGGTGGAAAACATGGAGGCTTGGGCGACAGTCTGATGCCCCTTTTCTGTGCAAGTTGGACCCACATGGATGGTAGATGGAAAAGGAGAACACGTAGAACGACGTGCATCACATGCATATTATTCTCAGAAAGTGCACAGTACCAGTACATATTTTATGTGTCCTGAGCATAATACGCATATATGACGCACGTTGTTCTACGTGTTTTCCTTCTCTGTCTACCCACATGGCTGCCCTAAAGATTGGTGTAATTGCCCATGTGCATTCTCTGCACTGTGTCACTGCATGGGCGATCGTTGCTTAGGTAAAAGAGGATTCCCATCTTAAGCCTTTCCTCCACGGCTGTACATGTACATGCAGGTACATACACATGTACCTGCATGTCTACATTGGATCACATACATGCCCAAATTTGGTTATTTTACTCAGCGTCTCTGGATGCAATTGGTCAATCTGTGGGATTTCTCAATCTTTGTGCAATCTGGGGATCATATTGCATTTACCGGTAATTTGCTGACATTTCCATCATCAGCCAATCGCCTGTTTTTTTCTGTTTCCAATAAGGGAAGTAAATTGGAGATTTTCTACACATGCACATGTAGGATCGACTAATTGCGCAGCATGGCCGGGTGATTGTTCAGATTGGCCAACTGTGCCCGGTACACCCATTTGTGAACTTTATTGGATGGTTCTTCATTAAGTTGGATTTGGGTTGATTTGGAGTACGCAAATAGGTCTTGGTAAATATGTTTATGAAGTTTAGTTAGGCCAACTGTTTTTATTCATTGGATTAGGAATGCACCCACCTTGAAAAATACAGTTTTAGAAAAATATATCGGGACATTGAGAAAAGATCAGTTTTTTCCAGTCGTGGAAAGGATAGGTGAAGGATAATTTTGCCTGATGCAATGAATTACATGTAAGTGAAATAACACATACATGTAGTATTCAAGATGCACCGCCAATGTGAGGCTGACCATTTCTAGTCTTGTTGTGGAGAGTATGCCCAGAAATTTGATCCCTTAATCCTGAAAAAAAATTAGATGTACTAGTTGTAAGTTAAAAAAGTAAGTTAACTTGATATTTCATTCTGGCCTGTGACCCTGCCTACTTTCATGTTTTTTTTACAAGTAATACAGTGCAGTATAAAATAAATAAATAAAAATGCTGGCCTTACTGTTTGTGCACTTGGGATTACTTTGTGTGTGCGCACACATGTACATGTACTGGTCTTTATCGGTGCAAACGTTTCATTTACATACATGTACATGTACACGATGAGCATGTATTGATAGACACGCACATGTACATGTACCGTGCATCAGGGCATGTATTTGAATAGGTCCACTTAGGTGCCGTAAATTGCAGCTACATGTACAAATGTTTTAAAATATCAAATTTAAAGCAATAAGTAATAAAAGTAGTTTTGCTACCAGACAACTAAAACTCTACCTTACCCGCTACATTGCACATGTAGAAAATGCTAATTATGGTACAGATAGGTACATGTAAGTTTCTGAAGAGCATAGAAATCCAGCATACTCAGTGTACATGTATATGTGCATGTAGTTGTTTCAGCCAGGGTACAGCTGCAGCTAATTTAGCTCAAGGCAGGCAGAGATGGTGACTGAAGGCTCATCTTACAGTCTATGTGTACAACTCCATTCAAAATAGGATCAATTCCTAGAAATGTTATGTGTCATTCACATGTTTGTATGGTGATGATTCTATTATTTACAGCAAGCTCACAAGGAGTTGTTTGTCGTCAGCACTGTATGCAAAGCTTTTATGCTTGTACCTGTAACCAAAAATTTTGAAAGCAAAACAGAATTCTGTTCTTGATAGAAAAACGTCTGTAAATTACCCAATTGACTAAAATTACATAGATTTATGTACCAGCACACATCATACATGTACATGTACGATATGGCGTGTTTCTGATATTTCTAAAATGCCATTGTGCATGTACGTGTACATGTAAACTTAAAAATCTTCACTTGGGACAAGGACACATGAACGAGACAAATTCCACAATTTGGGAGGAAACTTCTTTGACCGGTATATTTGTAAGGTCCGATAGAGAGCTGTTTTGTTGTCCTGATTCTCACCAACTCAGTCATACTCCATTTCATGCATTGTAAATATGTCAGTAAACTTCTAACGGCCAAGGTTAATTTAAATGTTTGAGACTACCAGTACTTTACAAGGGGATAAGGCATTCTATAATGTACCTACATGTAGGTATAATTAGATTTAACATTTATTTAATCCAATATACATGTACTTATACCGGTACATACAGGGGGTATAGTAAACATAATGTAACCACAACTCATTTGTAAAGTGTTTACATACGAAATGTCCAAATAATGAAATGGTTGTAAAAAATTGTGGCACCTACCGCCACTGCATGTATACATATACAGTACTCTGTATACATGTACAGTATGTACCACATTGTAACCAAAGTCTACATGTACCAGTAGGCTTCTACATGTATGTAAGCAGTATTACAGATTTTTACTAATGTATGTATTAAATTATGTAAAGTACCAGTACACTGCACATGTACATGTTTTAATTAGTAAGCAATTGAATGTTAATGTTTTATTTGCCATAGAGTGTTCCTGTGCTCACAATACATATGTAGGCTGCATCGGAAAGTCTGTTGTGGCCAACAGTATTATGAGTGATGGCTGCCGTCAGTGTGTGGCTACCATTTATTATGTTATTGCAAAACTATAGCCAGATCTTTGACGCAGTAAGAAGCCATGATGAGCATTGATGCATGTGTGTGTACATGTACCTTGTTTGTAAGGTTCTACCAAGCAAGGTTGTCACATGGATCTTAGCTGGCTAGAGACACCCTATAGAGGATTTTTCAGTGGTCAATGTTTGATATACACAGATGTGCGGGGAATGCATGCGCCTTTAAAGTCTCTCAATATTCTGGTGTGCATGAAATGGCCAATAGAAAGACACAGATTTGAAAATGTATGCCCCTGCACGGACATGGTAGGCCTTTACCTGTCATGTTACAGTAGGTCACGTGAAAAACCTCTGTTGGTTATTAAAGAAATTTTTAGTGTGCCACTGGTGCATGTACATGTATCACAGTGTACCAAATAGTAATGGCTTCAAATTGGTCACTGAATTTGTCTATAGTTTAGCTACTTGTGAATGTATACTTGTGAATTTTATTCTGTACCCAGCTGCAAAATGTGTGACACTTGCATGTTTATTAATTTGTTTTCAACGTTAATAGCAAGCAGTATTTATGTGCAGACATGCATATATCCATAGCGGGACATGGAGAGTTTCCTAATGCCATCAGACTTTGCACAGTTTGCAGTAATTTACCCAGTCTAATTAAAAGCCAAAACATTATGGTGTTTATAACCGAATCTACCATGTTTCAAATCTTAGCTCAAAGAATTTTAATTAACCAAACTCACTTGTACTGTGTACATTTTTTTACATGTACATGTACATGTATGTCACTGCTAACTGTGCTACGTGTATCTTTTGTGCTATAGTTTGAAATGTTCAGGCATTTGTATGATCCGTGTGCATTACTAAAAGTTATTTTCATATGTGAAGGCTACCTGTACGGTACATGTACTGACCTGGTAGTGGGGTCTATGCTTGAACTACATGTACATGCTCATTCCGGTAGGTACAAGTAAATAAAGCGCTGTACAGGATTTTATATCGGCTACAGCTGACGGCTCCCATAGGTGCATGTATTATTGCCTACAGTGCTCAGTCCAGATTGCTGTATATGTTGCGCGCAGCATCAGAAGTGCCCTACATGTACATGTATTTTTTTATTGAAAGTTTTTTTTTTAACCATTCCCAGAGTTTGTGAATGCTGTTAAGTACAGAATCCATTATACTCTAGACTTACATAAAGTGCAAATACATGTAGTAACGATCCAGCATCTGTCCTCTTAGCTTTTTTCTTCAGAGACTTGGGAGTCACTCGTACATTACCCATAGCATGTGTGTATAACCTTTGGCAGTTGCTATTTAAGTACGGTACATGTATTGACCAATAAAAACAAGATCCTTTTGGTCCGTAACCGAAGTCCGTAATTTGATGTTTTGGATCGAATGAATCCTAGGTATGCCAATACATTCTTGCAAATTAATCTAAATGTACATGTCCACGCTCAGTGTGTATTTACATGCGTATATTGATCAGTGAAGGGGAGAAATTGGTCCAGTACAAGACAAGCTCCTTAAAAGTAAACAAATTTCAGTGATAGGAGGTTGGAAATCGAAAGTTGGAAATCCTTGAATACCAAAATGTACGCTCAAGGATTTTCCTGGAGACAGAACACCAGATGGATTTGTTGTGGATTTTGCCATCATGTTCCTGGTGTTCATGTGGCAGGTGAATGTAATTAAACCTATATACAGCATTTGCAAAGAAAAACAAAATGAGCTGTTTCCAGTTATTTGTGTACTGTTGGTCTCTATGTATGCGTGTGAAAATGTCACGTGTATTTTATAGGCACTGGAATACTTGACCTTAATAAGCACACAAGGATAGGTTTAAGCCATACCGGTACCCTTGCTTGACTGTGCATTCCACCCAGTGTGCTACCAAATTTGCACTTTATACATGTAAGTACCGGTCTCCCAGAATTAGAATTGACTTGACCATTGAGTTCCCCCGACATGTACCAAAGTGCTGGTACTCTAACCTGGAGTTCAATTTTCATCGGTGCCCGCACTGCCATGCCTGAATTCACCACAGTGTCAAAGGAGATAGTACTCCAGTGGAAAGGAGGACAGCTTCTACTGTTGTGTTTGTACAGAGGCCCGTAGATCATCGCAGCAATCACCCACTCTCAAGCATCATTACCTCTGAAGAGTGAAGCATCCATTAGAATACTGAGGGTCCCAACCAAACAAGTGTACTGTCTCTGTCATGAACTTGTATCGAAATGTGGAGGTTCCATAACTGTTCCAAACTTCCTATCAGGATGTTACCATGAAAGGTGTCTGAATTTACATGAATTTCAGACACTGTGAGCTTTTAAATTGGTAGGTTTGAGCACCATTTACCATTTAGTGTTGTTGAGAATTGAAAACAAAAGTGTTACTTGAGAATAATTTTGATGCATCCTTTTTAAGTCTATAGAAAACTTTGATGTACCCAGAAATGGGTACTAATAGAATAGTTATTGGTCTTAACAGTAATGTCATCCATGACTCACTGCTTTCCTCCTGCAGTGCCGGATCAAGAGGGAAAAGTGACCATAAAATGCCTTTTCAAGACAAAGTATAACTTAATCCAAAACATCCAAGTTACTTTGTTACACATGTATGTTACCAGAGATCCCAAACCTTACACAATATATATGTAGCACTGCACTTAAAGTTTTATGTAATCCAGCCCTTCAGATGCTTGAAGTAAGTCAGTTTGCTGTTTTGAATAAACACTTGTTTTGCTGCAGGAAGTGTTTGGCGCCACACTTTGACCTCATTGACAATTTGCTTCATTTCCATGTTTGTAGTCGTCACTGGATCCTAACTAATTCATCAGATTAACGTTAACATCATGCTCCTCATTTGACATTTAACTTCATCATCATCGTGGTTTTTTTTCTTGATTGCTTGAAAATGTCATGACTGTAAGTACATGCAGCTTTGGTATTTTATTTCTTGAGATTGAGCCTGGTCTATTCCACAAACTTACATGCATACATCCCCTAATCCAGTGTTGTATCGGAGACCTTGATGTCCGAGACCAAGACCGAGATCTACTCCTTCAAGACCAAGACCAGGACTTCGAGACCGAGACTTTTGCACGCCGAGACCGAGACCAACCATAAACCAATGTTTAGTTTTTACCAAAAGGTAAATAGGGACAAACATATGGCAGTACAATTAAGTACAAAAGAAATAAAATTGAAAACATTAGCATAAACACACACACACAAATAGATAAAATATTTTTTAAGGAATGTCTCAGTTTGTTTATCAGTGATACTGCTCTACTTTTACCCTGGTCTGGTCATTTTCAACCCAAGTGTCCCAAGTGATATGATGTGAACATTAAAAGAAATATCCTTAGACTGTTTTTTTTGTAAGCAAAATACTGAAAAACAAATATCCAAAAAAGATGTACCGTAACAAAACTACTAAAACAACATGTACCACATACAAGACGGAATGAAAGCTGTTTCACACATGCACACAATTCATAGCGTGCGCACACACACAGACTGGTTCCCGTCCTGGCCTTACGTTCAGCAGGAGACTAGGTAGGGAACAGGAACCAGTATAGTGTAGTAGGTTGCATCATGCTGCATTGATTAGTCTTCATTCCAGCATCAATTTCATTGGTTTATTGCAAACAATCTGAACATTACTGTGTTGTATTTATATCAGTGGTTGAAGATTTGACTCGAGCAGAGGTAATTTTGCCTTTTGCAACCGCATGCATGCATTGTACCTAGATGTACATTTTGTTATGGTCTCGACTGGTCTCAAGGGGGAGACCCGAGACTATGACATCCGAGACCCAAACCGAGACCGACACTTTCAAGACCGAGGCCGACCCTCCCAAGACCGAGACTTTAACAGGGCGAGACCGAGACTGCAAAAAAAGGTCTCGAGACAGTCTCGAGACCGAGACCAGGTCTCAAGACCTACAACACTGCCCCAATCCCACAATTTGAATTGCATAAAACTTCCTCCAAAAATGATTTCAATGAAAAAATCTTAGCCCACCATTCTGGAGACAAGAATTTTTGTTACTCTTATTCCTTTCAATAATGCTCTGTTTTCAATGCATGTGCACATTTGAAACCTATCAGCCCTTTCGGCCCCGTCAAATAATCTTGTAATATGAACCACCTGAGGGAGCAACATGAAACCATCAAGAGGTTTTTTTCTCCATGTATAGAAGCAATTCTTGTAATAATGCCCATTTATCCAGCGATAGTAAAGGAGTGAACACTGAGACTGTGTACTTGAAAAAAAATAGTGTTAAGCCTCTGCATCTGCCTAGCAACTGCCTAGCAATAACGTGACCTTAGGTCAAACCTTTCTCAAATAGCGCTCAGATCAGTTGTCTGTGCCCCGATTCAGACAATGTCTGTCACTTTTTCTGTATACACGTACATGTAGGTATTTTAGTGCAGGTCGTCCAGACAAAAATTATTTAAAATTGTGTGAATTGTTTGGTAATAGGGAATCATGTGTGTTCAGTTGCTGTGTTTTTTTGTACAAGGTCTTATAAAAAGGTGGTCCTCCTCAACATGGTTAGCCTCTGCTCGAGGTACATGTACTTTATAACATGCACAGCGTACATGTACACGTACATTAGATCTTGAAGTTTATTTTCAAAGCACTGAATGATATTAAATTGGCTTTTTCTTGAGTTTAGGGAGAAATGTCCTTCTCTTTCCTTTCTCTGAAATAGCCACAGAGTACAGAGTTTTAAAGCTGAGATTTCTTTTTGGAATGGGTTGAGGCAGTGACTGCTGCTCAAATAAGAAAATCACAAACTGGATACAACTTGACTTCCTGCCTGGTACCCACTTTCTGCATTTCTGTTCTGAAACTTATCTCACTTTTCTGTTCTAATTGTCAGCGGATGAAAAATGAGTGGCATTGATCTTGGACAACAAATTTGCATTGTGAACTCCCGACTGCGTTGGCTGGAATGGTTGATTTGATGTTCGTTTGTCTCAGAATGCTAAGCATGAATTATGCCAGACATAGAAAAACTCCTATTAATATGCATGGACCACCCAAGTCAGAATCACCATGCTTTTATGCCATGACCTCATTTGCATAATTACCAGTGAATCTGGATGTACATTTGTAGCCCACTATGTCACTGGACTGCTTGAGCTGCTGTATTTTTGTTAGTGATGTGTACATGTCTCAGTTGCAGACATGTACATGTACAGTACATTCAATCACATATTGGGTAACGGTTTCCTACAGTGGCTCGAATGCTGTAATTTCAAAGTGAATTTGTTGAAAATTTACATCTACAGTGCAGCAGTCCTGTCAAGTGTTACAAAGTGCTACAAAGAGTGTCAGCAGGTGCTTAGGTCTAGACCCAGCAGCTCCTATGTCATTTTAATGATTTATATTTTTGGCCAGTCTTTATATTGACCAGAAAATACTAAAACTAATTACTTGGAAAAAGCATCTTACTCTTGCACAGCAAATAACCATAAACTTACCCCATATTTTGTACCCTAGCAGCACATACATGTAGGCCTAATAGTACATGTAGTCAATGGTTAACAGCAGCAATCAGAGGGTCATCTAAATGTTGACCAGCTTCATCTTTAATACCCCCAGACATACATGCACTAATTATGACCCTCCCCCCATCCCCTCCTTCCCCGTCTCTCCTCTCCTTCTACCCCACCCCTTCAAGCAGTTTGTAGACTCAGTTTGTAATTTTTGACACAATTAGTGAACCAGCCCGGGTAAAAATAAACATTCCTATGATTGCAGTCAAGTCATCTGCTGTGGTGTTCCTTTTTACCAAACTGAGACACTGTATATTGACCGAATAGTTGGATAGCATTTGTCCAGACTTTCTTTGCCCTTCTCAACTTTCCAACAAATTTTTAGTTCATTTCCAATTTCAGGTTTTAGTAAGTATAATAAGGACAAAAAAAATATGGATTTGGAAGGACACTGCTTCAGTACTTTGTGGGATTTTTTTGTGAATGCCATGTTTATTCTTTCAATGTTTGCCCTTGTTGCCACTTGTCTAACCCCCTTCTGGTCACCGGCAGAGGAGTGTCCTACATGATGTACATAGGTCATTGTGGGTAGTGACCACCACAATGCTTTCATTTCTCTGGGGGATACAAGGCTGTATAGCCCCTGCAGGTAGCCTGAGATAACCTCTGAGGCCTGCATGGCCATAAAATGCAGGCAGTGGGGTGTTTCTGCAAGCACCTAATTATATGTGACCCAACCTACATGTACATGTAACAAAATGACTAGCTATTCAGCAGAGCCACTTTTGAGTTTAAAGGCCAAATTGTGAATTTAACTTGAGGCATAAAGCAGTACATACATGTACCGTAGGAACCCTTAAAATTTTCCACCCACATGATGTATATTTTCATCATGTGGCCAAATTGAGTGATACTGTACATCAAAGCAAAGATCCCAATTCGCTCGTTTTTGTATACTTAAAATTACTGAAGAAAGGTTTTAAAACTCATTTTGTGAGATGGTCCATATTATCATAGCTCTGTGTTATTACTGTAACCAGACATTGGTTCTCATGAGATTCGGCAGCCGTTGCAATTAGACACACGTGGCTGGCCAAGATATGGCTAACAGTCAACACCTCACTGTATTTTGCTGCCAATATCTCATGGTATTCCATGGGCCTTTCTCAAAGATTGACTCTCTTCTGGCTGTGGCCTCATCTGAGGCTTTGGAATCGGTTGTGAGCATTTTTAGGGTTTGGGCCAAAAGGAAGATTCCAGTCTTTGGCTTCAAACAGGGCACCATCAGTGTGATGTTCCTGTTACTAAAACATCAATTCATGCCAAACTGAAATATTGAATGCCAACAAACCTATTAAAATGAGGTGAACGCAAGAATGTGACCCACTCTGTGAAAATGAGTCTTAAGTCGCCAGAGCCACTTTTTGAGTTTTCATTTGTATTGGAAAGAGCAAATTGAGTTTTTTGTTTTGATGTATCACTCAGTTTGGCATCCCTATGACAGTGGATGCTCCATGGTGAAAAAAGCTGTGGGTTCCTATTGGTTTTCACTGTGCAAAATACATTCTAAAGGACTTTTTACTCCAAAGTGGCTCTGGCAACTATTTTGCACAGAGTGGGTCACAAATAGGAATGAAGTGTGAGAAATGGTCTGTGATTGTCAGTAGGGGGCAGCAGAGTCTATACCCATGAGACACAGACTGGGACATAAAATTCAACCGAGAGTATCCATTCAAAACCACATCAGGTTAGAAAGATTGCACCAGACTATGGGAATAAAGGCATGGGATGAGTTTTTTCCATGGAGGTCAAATGGCGAAGGCGGGGAAAGGGGGGAGGGTTGAAGCAACTTCCCTTTTCTTATCCTGTGTACTCGTAATCCCCCGTTGTTTTACTAAGACACCGTCGCAAAACAGAAGTCGTGTATTTGGCTCTTTCAACATTTAAAATGCTCCAGATTGGAGGATTTAATGACCTTTTTAAACATTTTCCCGGCGGAGCATACCGGTACCGTCGGACCACCCCCCAGGTCTTGGTGGGGACCTCAAGCCATGGCATATCAAACCCACCTTGTCATAATCCTTGGTACTCCTCTGGAGGCCTCTAGAGTTAAGCAACTGTTGTCAATAAAAAAACTTCCAACACGTTGACATGCTCATGGCTTCGTGCAGCTCTCATGAACCTTTTCAATCGAGAGACATCCTCAACCCCATTTTGGTAGGCCAAGATCTATCCATCCCTTGAAATCTTCCTGA